AAAAGCAACTCCGGGAAAAGAAATGGTTAATTTTGCCAACAATTCTAGGGCACAGACCATCACTGATGAAAGTTAAGGAAGATGCTCAAGCAGGAATTGAAGCAAAACTCACTGAGAAACACTGCTCCTGTGCTCACACTCAGCAAGCAGCTAGCTTTCTTATAAGACTTAGCAACACTTTAGCAAGCACCGTCCACCATGGGCTGGACCCTCCAACATCAATCAACCACCAAGACAAGTCCCTGCAGACTTGGCCAAAGGTCAATTTTATTTAGGCAGCTTTCTCATTTAAGACTCATTCTTTCCAGGTAACTCTTAAGTTTGTGTCAAACTGCTAGTAAAAACTCATCAGGACACATAGTAATAAAAAAAGACCAATACCACTTCCTAACCCCAAATGAATGCATGACTTATGGAATCTATCCTACTAATTTCCGACAGAGAGGCACGTGTTTGTCTGGTCAAATACAAGCACTGCTGCCTATTAGGATCTACTGGGACTTGTGTCAGGATCCCTGGTGCTTACCTAAATCCCAAATACTAGGTCCATTACATAAAACTGTGTCATATTTGCATGTAGCCAACACATATACTTCTGCAAGTACTATAAATAATTTCTACTTACTTACAGCACCTAATTCAGTGCAAATGCTATGTAAATAGTAAGCGAATTGTTTTGGGAAACATAGTGAGGTGAGAAGCATCTTCTCACGACATATGTCCCTTTGGTTTTAAAACATTTCTACCCTTCTCTGGTTGAGTCTGTAGATATGAAGCCACCTGGGTAGGGAGTGCCTGTTGGACTTGCTATCCCCCAAACCAGTGCTTATATTTGCCTAAACTTAGATGTACCCAATGAAGCAGTGGGGGAGGACTTAGGGTTTCTGATAGTAATTATTTCTTGATTTCAGTGCTCAATCATAAGTATGCTCATTTGGTGGCAATATTAAATTATATTCTCTCATAAATTAAATTATATAGTCATAAAGTACAATGATCCAAAATTTATTTTTATTACCTGCCAGCACAATTATTAGTAGCTAGATTTTAGAATTGAAAAAATATTCTTAAACATATAAAAATGGTCATGCAGTGTTACCTGGGTAAGCACGCCAGGGTTAGTCCTCCATGGGTAAAACCTCCAACACATTACAATAAAACAAAAATGCCCAAAAATGTTTAAAATATTAACTCTTAGAAAAACATGGCTCTTTCCTTATTTTGCACAATATATTTCCACCCCCACACTGGCTGAAACTGTTTGACATAGAATGTTATTACTTTGATGAATAATTTTAATTTTCCATTTCAGAATGATCAAGAACACCCAGTGTTCTGAGACGAGGAGGCGTTGTTTGCAGTCAGCTTGGTCACTACCTGATTCTTCAGGCAGAGCATCTCAGATGGACATGCCTCGGGGTGAGGACCAGGTCAAAATAAAGCAGAAAGGAATTCAACATGAATTTTATCCCATTTATTGAAGGAAATATATATTTGCTGATGGTAATCTAGTGATGAAATCATTAAATCACGAACAAAACCTTTACCAGGATTTCATGCCCAGCACAACCAGAGGCACCAGGGGTAGAAAAGGGCAGGCTATTCAAGTTTTTATCTTCTGAAGAAATATGCAGATGTGCACAGTAGTCAATGATACATGTTCAAATATCAGCAGCAAACTAATGGCAATTATAGCAAAGGAAGAAAATAAAAGGGATTTTTTTTCATATTTTCAAAATGGTACCTCCAAAGCAAAGTTCTTGACAGTCAGGGCTTCCTGGAGGTAGCTTCTGGACAAGTGAAATTGGATTAGTATTTGGGTCATTCCTTTTGCCAACATCAGGTAGTTACTTAATACCTTAGATGAATTTCATCTGAGAACTAATGTTGATGCTGATATTTCTATTCCTTTTGCAAGGTTAGGATGGGACAACCTGTAACACAGAAGGCTACCCTTTCTGCATTGCTGCCTCTTCCTATGTATGAATAACCAACTACTGAGAATCTTTCATACCTAATATTGAACATGAGAAAATTGGGGGGGGGGCTGCTAAAGCTTCGAGCAATCACAGAGAAGGATGTCTTGGGGTTTAAAATGCAAAACAAATGACAAAAATTGGGACAAGCACAGAGCAATGCAATGAGACCAAGAGAGAACAGTGCCTGGGAAACAGGAATAAACCAGGCTAATTATTTCTCTAAGGGCTCTGGAGCACAGCAGTGTGCTGGGTAAGGTGAGGAAGTCAGGAATACAGATGTCAGCTCGGAATACTGAACTGCCCAGTGGAAAGCCAAATTGCCTCACTTTCCTCACTTTCGTTTATTTACATGGGACACTGAGGACCGGACAGAGGGTACTAGATGGCCCTGCCTTGCGGACATTTGGGAAAGGAAAAGCTCTTCATGGCTGTGACATCTGTCGAGATTTAGGTCCAGGTCTTGATGGATCAATAGCACATGGAATCAAAGGAGGAAAAGAGGGCTCACTGGGGGCAGGCACTACACCATGAAGCTTCTCCAGGTGGAGGAACCTTGTCATACACTGGTTAGTTCTTGAATATACATCAGGGCAAAAGTCTCAGAATTTGATTAGGAGGTACTGTATGAGAGGATCAAGAAAGATAATGAAAGAGACAGTAAAATGAAAGCTTGTTTATCACAGATGGGAATTTCAGCTTTAAAATATCGCAATACAAAAATCAGTGGAGTCCGCTCCAAGAAAGAATGGGAAGACATAGTCAACCCCCAAATACCTATGTTCTTTGGCTCAAAGTCTATCCAAATTGTTGAAAAGCAACGAGCTTATCTCTATACTTTGCCTAATGTCAACTTCACCATCACAACCATTAAATTCTTGAGTTATTCATTCACATCAGAAAATATCAACTATATTTGAATATTGAAGAGATGAGGCATTGTCAGACTTAGCTATACCTACATTTAAGTTTTTAGTATCAGACCCTAAAGATGTGTTTTCAAAGGGAAGGAAAGGAGATGGGAAACCACTGCAACAGGATCTACCTTCCCTTGGAGAAGGAGCTGGCACAGAAGGCACCCTCAGGTTACTGAAGTATTAGGAATCTTCCTGCCTCATCCCTCCCTAGCATACCCCAGGCCCACATGTCCTGTTAAGACTCAGCAAGGGTCTTCTAACACCCAGCGGGCTAGAAAGAGAACTCAGAATTAAGGGTGCATACAGTTCCCAGGACCCACATGGAACAGTTCACAACGTCTGTAACTCCAGCTCTGGGGGTATCTGATGCCTCTGGCCTCTGCTAGCCTGCACACACGCACGCACACAGAACTGATAACAAGATAGATCTTTTTTTTTTTTCAAAAAGGAAATTATGCAAGGGCTATGACACATGAAAGTCTCACTGTCAGCTATCTGCTAACCATAATCACTTATATCCAAGGGTGCTAGGACCCTGGATCTTAACATTCTTTTGGGAGGGGGTGAGGTAGGGAGGGTCCACTTGTTTTTGGACTAGGTGTTTTTAGAAACAGCCTCCATGGGTTCTAGTTAGGGAGGCCAGCAGACTGCTCCATCAGCAGGAGTCTGGTTTCTCCGGTTTCACCCACACTTTTTTGGAGCAACTAGTTCTCTGTGTGGTAGACCCGCCCGCGAGCCACCCGCAGACCCGCGCCTCCTCCAGGACCTCTGTGAAACTCGCTGCCAAAACCCAGCTGTGGTGAAGAACGCACTGCTGCGCTGTAAGTGGAGGCGGGAGAGTCCTGTGCTCCTGAAGGAGTTTTCCTGGCGGCTGGGAGACCGGCGAGAGGCATAGGAAGTGCGGACAGAGGAGACCAGCCTGTGCTGCCCATCCAAGAGAGCCCACTGCTCTCTCGATCCTGTTCCCTTGTCAGAGTAGGAGGGAGGGGATGGGGCCTAAAATCCTACTGGCGTCCTCCCCGTCCACGGGTACCAAGCCTCATCTTTGATCTTCCGATCCCCTCCCTCTGACTTCTCACATCCCCGCTTCCGCTCCACCCTCGGCAGTGCCAGGTCCCCTAAGGACACTCCAGATCTCGGACACAGATATTTCGCAGGAAGAACAAGAGGGTCACGCATACCCCCCCCCCCCACCCCGCCAAGCTCATTTTTCTCCTCTGTTCCCCCTAGAACATGTACCCTAACTTCTCCAGAGGTGGCCAGCTGCACCCGAAGCCCGAAAACCTATCCAAGTGCCCGAACAGTTCAACTTGGACAACTTCTTAGAATGGGGATCCCCGTGCTTTCCGGGGAAAGCCATGCTGGCTGCCCACATATCAGGAGAGGACACCTCGACTTCTCCGTGGGGAATCCCCCTCAGAATCCATTTCGTTTGGCGGCGTGGTGTCCTACAGCAGCGAATTAAGAACTCTGCAAACAGGAGTGCGCTTTGAGGGTGGGAGGTCGTGGGCGGAGGCCAGAGCGCAGAAGTTCTGCACTGGTTTTGGACAGAGAATCCGGTCCATGTTTTCAAGTCAGAAAGCTCTTGTCCGCTGGGAAAAAGATAGGACCAAAGTCGTTGAGAGGAAAGTCCTCTAGGCGTGGGTCGGAAAACTGGGGTGAACTGCAACGCTCAATCTTTGAGCCACTTCGGTGGGAAACTATTCTTCCTCCGGGGTGTGGGGGCAGGGAGACTTCCCTGGCAAAGCAGTCGACGTCAAGCCTAGCTGCTCTGGACTCTATCCCTCTGTCCTCAGGCTGCCTGGAGAACTTGGTACCTCGGACAGCAGCCCGGGCGCACAGCATCCTATGCAAGGTGCGGTCCTATTTTCCTCCCACCAAGTCAAACACCAACAAATTATTTCGCTGACCTTTCTAATACAGATGAAGGGCATTTTAATTACATAACCCATGAAAGATCACCGGAGGCAATGTCGTGTTTGAGAGCCCATGGCAGAATAGCTGCATAGCATGAAAAAAGACAGAAAACTTGCAAATCTGCAACGAGATTGCGCAAGGCTGTCCCTCCTCTGGAAACAACATGTGAAATGCATGGGAGATATCTTACCTTTCGGACTCCAAAGCCGTGGTCTGCTGCAACTTGGCGAGCCTCTTCCTCTCCGTCTTTATGCAACTCCACAAGAAAATGATTCGTGAAGACGGGTCTCTCGGCAGACGCAAAAACCATGACACAGAAGAGGAGCCCAGCCGCCTTCCACTGGGATCCACAACCGCCCTCCATCCTTCTTTGGGAGTGAAAAGTGGGGCTGCGAAGCGAGCAGGCGGGTGGAGCAAGGGGACGAGGAGGGAAGATGCAAATAAAAAATAGGTATGTAGTTTTTGTTTCTGTTTTTCTTTTTAAAAATCTTTTTATAGCAAAAGAGGCAAAAGAGAAGCTTGACAAGCAGCAAATCTGTGCGCTGTCCACCAGCAGCTGGCTGCCAGGGAAGCCGAGGAGTCGCGCAGCCGGGCTGGCTGGCAGGGGTGCGAATGTGCGGAGCTATGTGTACCCGAGAGAAAGAGCTAGTGTATGTCTGTGCTTGATGCTAAATCTGCATTTTCAGCTCCTCCTCGGCTCCAATTCCACAGGGCTGGAGGCGAGCGCCAGCCCGAGTGACGTCCGCCCGCCAGCGGCCAATAGAGGTTAGAGGAACTGTGGGCCCCGCCCCGGGCCGCCCCGAGCCCGCCCCCGCCCTCCTCAACCCTCCCCCGCCCAGCTGGCTGCCCGGGTCCCCGGGGGCGCCGCTTGTCCGCGCCCCCGCCAGCCCCAGAGAGCCTTTGCTCCGCCCGGCCGCCGCGCGCCTAGGAAAATCCCCCCGCTGCCACCCGCAGCCGGCGCCCGGTGATGTCATTGTTTGTGGAAATCTGCACAGCTCCGGGAAAGGAATTACGGTGCGTGCGGCTGTCAGAAGCCCCGAGGGGAGCAGGGGCCCCGGCCGCTCCCTGTTGCTCTTCCTACTAGTGTGTTCAGCTGCAAAACAACTCTCCTTTCTTTTCTCTTCTCTTTTCTCTTCTCTCTTACCTCTTCCCACTTCTTTCTCCCTTCCTTTCCCCTCCCACCTCTCTCCCTTTCTCCCAATAACAAAACGAATTTGATCCTTCCCGCCCCCCTCCACTTTGGGCAAATCCTAGGCTGGGAAGAGCATCCTTCCAGGGGTGACTCATGGGGGTGGAAAGGAGCTTTTCTCCCGGTTCTTTTCCCCATGCTCCAAGCAGGCCAGAAACTAAACATCTGGCCGTCCAGCGGGAGTCCGGGCTGCTCCCCCTACACCTGTGATAGCTAATAGAAGAGGCTCTTCTAGAGTCAGCGATGCACCTGCATCCAGAGACTGCTGAGAGGGGGAAGGCGTGATGCTCATGCTAGGAGGCAGATTTTCAAACCCCGGGCTTGCAGCTGCGTCAGGACCAAGAGTGAGAGTTTAAGGAGGTGTAGTCACCCACCCAGGCGCTAGGTCAGGATTCCTGCTAGGTGTCTTTGCCTGCAGGACAGCCATGTTGTCCAGGTCCAGTAAACTGCTGAGGTCTGACTTCCCCTTCTTGCTCTTGTGTGAGCGAGGAAGTAGACAGATTCTGTTGTATGAAAATGAAGATCATTGCTCCAAGTAACTTAAATCTTTTGTAGTTATGGAGTATGTTTCCAGTGTTTACCTTTCGGCACCAAAGTTCAAAATCCTTCCATAAATTGGATAATCACCAAGATCAATTTTCTCAGGAAAGAGAGAGGAAAAAGGAGGGAGGAGAAAGGAGAGACAGAAAAACTGTGAGTTTGTAACATTGATAAACCTTACCACACCCAGCGACACCCTCTCCACTCCCCCCGCTTCTTAGCACAAAAATCACAGTCTAGACAAGAAACACAGGATTGGTGGACATGAACACATGCTTAGCACACAAGCCACACCATCTTCACTGACATAGCTGTCCCCCCACATTGACAGACACATGTATGCAGGCATTGCAGGATGCTTTTCAGGAGACTGTAAGTCTTCAGCGTACCACATTATCAATTTTGCTGACTTCCCTTTTAAGAAAAACCAAGTGAAACATCAAGAAGGTGGCAGAGAGGATTCCAGAGTGGAAACAGGTTTTGGGGAGATTATTAACGAAATGACAGATCAGTCCGGGAGCCTCAGTTTGGAGCTGCACACACCAGCTCATTTCTGCCAAGAATGTTTTCCTTTGTCACCATGTCATGCCCCACCGCCCATCGGACCGTAACACAAGGTTACCTGACCCAGGGGCCTCCCATTCTTCCTCTCCTTTTGTCTTCCTTACAGTTCATCCATATTTGGAGCCAAAGTCTCTGTTGAGTGAAGCAAAAACCACATGATTCCTCCTGTCCTGTGAATTGAGAAAAATGACATCAAATGTGAAAACTATATTATATAAATTTACCATGGGGGAGAAAATTTCAAAAGCAGCAACTGAGATACAAATATAAGCCTTTAGAAAACAGACCTGAAGAGCATCAAATAAGTCAATTTAAAAGATTATAGGTGCTTGGAAATAGCAGGACTATTATAGCTAAATCTCTCTGAAATTATCATCAATTTAGATTATGTATTAATTGTTCTGGAACCATTTCCTAAACAAACTCCAAAGATGAAATGCCAGTGTGTGCTCAATCTACTACCATGGTTAGTGTCACCTTGAACTCCTATTAAAATAGGATTCCCTTGGTGGTGCTGGTGGGAGGTGGTCAAGTTATTGAAATGTGGTTGGATCATGAAGATTCTTCCCTCATGATGGCTTTAATCTATTTATAAATTAATGAGTTATTGAATGACAGTGGAAGTGCTATAAAAGCAAACTTTTCTTGGGTAGCTTTTATTATCTTGTCACGTGATTCTATCCATTAGGTTATGATGTAGCAAGTAGCCCTTACCAGATCCCAATGCTATGCATCCTAAACTGGAAGCTCAAGAATTCTTTTAGATATCAAAGTTTTGTCTAGTTTGCTACAGCAACAGAAAGTGGACCAAGATGTAAGCCTACATTTTAATAATTAAAGCTATAAAATCAGGTACAGTCTGAAAAAATCTGGATAACTGATTGAAGTCTGTTGTCTTTTCTAAAATATATTTTATATATTTGAGTGTCTTGCCTGCATGTGTGTATGTGCACCTTGTGTGTGTCTGCTGCCTGTTGAGGTCAGGAAGAGGGCATTAGACCCCTGAAAATGGAGTGTCAGATAGTTGTGAACCGCCATGTGGGTGCTGAGATGGGAGCCCAGGTCCTCTGCAAGATTGATACGTTCCCCTAGCTGCTGAGAGAGCTTTCCAATCTCCTGAAGTCTGCTGTGGTTTATTTAGTATATAATTTATCATAATACTGTCAGCACAGCAGAATGAAAACAGAATTTTGTGATGCAAATGCTAAATTTTTAATGCACTATGGAACCATAAGCCACTGGAGGAAATGCACCAAAATATTTGATTGGTATTTGAAATGTAAATACACATTCAGTGTGCGCAAATTTGCTTTTCTAGAGAAGTATTATCGCTCAAACTCTTTTCTGATATCAATAGATTTAGACAGAGAACATCAACAGGAGAGAGAGAGAGAGAGAGAGAGAGAGAGAGAGAGAGAGAGCAGCAGAGTGACCCAGAAACCACTGTAAGGTCTGCTGTGGTTGTCAATGGATGCCACTTGAGTCAAACCATTGACTTTCTCTAAGCCTGTATCCTGCCATCCTCTAGATCCCAAACTGTGCTTTCAGAGATGCTAAAGCTCATAGTGTGGCATAAAGCATCGCCTGCTCCACGGGTGTTGAGGCTAGGCATGCTTACCCACACATTCCAATGGCTAAATGATCACATTCCACACACCTCCCCCAGCCTTCTTACATGTCACTAAGTTTGTGGAGTTGAGAAAATAACTGACAAGTGTTAACCATCAGAACTGGATATGAAGCCCATCAAGATCTTTGAGTTCTTTCCATTTATTTTCTCTTGAAGCTGTAGCAACAACAGGGTTAATATGTGCCACCAACGCCCACCTTCTCACTCAGGCTATAAGGAGCAGGATATTTCCATTTCACAATGTCTACCCCCTTCACACACATGCTATACCCTCACAAAGGTAGACACACACATTTATGGTTAGAAGAACAAAAACTACCAGAGACAAGATTGGTTTTTTTTTTTTTCATCCAGGTGTATTCAGATTCTTTTAGGCAGAAGACTTTGGATCCACAGACTATCAGATTAAGGAAACCTTGCTGCCGTGCTGGAGATGGGGAAGAGGGCAAACCAGAGTCATCCCTGTGGAGGAATTCTTGACCTGTGCCTGTTGTTTGCACCACTAGCAAAGAGAACCAATTTTCTGTTGATTTCTCTTCCACAGGCTGGAATGTAAACATGCACGTGCCACTTAAGGTCATGATTTAAATAGAACTCTGATTGAGTCTAGACGGATGGTGCACATCTTTAATCTTGGCATTTGGGACTGCAGGCAGGACAACAATGAGTTTGAAGGCTAACCTGAGTTATAAGATATCTATGTCAAAAAAAGTACACAATCTTGATTAAACCAATTTGTGTTACCATTTTTTGTGGTATCCATCTTGATGCTTCAAATGAGGCATGGACACTTTCTCTTGGCAGCATAGATTTTTCTGTTATAGTGTGCTGCTGTGTCTTGCTGGTATGTTCTTTCAGCCTTCCCTGCCCTTCCTGTTTTGGATACACCTACCCATACTCAAGATTCCTCAAGCTTTATTTCCTTTCTTCAATTCTGCCACATTTTGATCTCAACACTGAGTTCCCTACCCCCAGTTAATCCTTATATTTCAAGATGGTGCCACATTTCCCGGTGATATGAATCCTTTTGCAGTTGCTGTGGTGCAGGATTCAGGTGCCTGACACATTTAAATCACGTCTTCAGGTTACACTCACTCCTTCACAGTTATTGGGACTTGGTTGCTCTTATCACAAATTCATATATCTTTTACTAATTTAATGTTTTCCCCTTAAATGATCTGTTGCTTTTTTTTATAAGATGAGAGGATTCAGATTTCTAACTCATCTTTTCTAAATCATTTTAAATTAATACCACGGGGAGTATTCCTGGAGATTTGTCAAGTGTTTTGCTGTTATGGAAGCAGTTTGTCTGGACAGCATAAGGTGGTGTTCACTTTGTGACTTCCAACAAATCATCCGATTTATTCAGACTAATCAGCTCTTCATAAACAAAAAGGATTGCTTGCTTTCTTATTTTCCAGGATGTTGAAAATTTGTTTCCTATGCTAATTTAGCTTCTACTATTTTGATAGGATTTGAAGTAGCTAAACAATGAGGACCAAGGGTTCTTTTAATCTTCCTTGGTAAATTAGAAACACATTGTTAGTCACTGTCTTTAGATTCCTCCCCAGGTCTAGAGGACTAAAGAATAATGTTTGCTCACTTGGAAAAATTAATTAGTTATTTCTTAGGGCTCATTGGAACATTGTTATTGTCTGTAGAAAGTGATTATCTATTCATGAATTTCCCACCTTTGTTTGTTCCCCTTTTTTCCCCCTTGATCTTTAAAGAAATGCAGGAGCTGGGCGGTGGTGGCGCACGCCTTT